GCTGTCCTCTGTGGTCACAGCTCCCTCTGACCCTGACCTCCCCACCTCCCTGTTTACTTTTAAGGACACTTTGGGTTACACTTAGGGCCCACCTGGGAATCCAGGATGAAAACCTCAGGGTGCTCACATCATCACAGCTGCAGAGTCCCTTTTGCTCTGTAAGGTCACTTAGGCGCAGGTTCCGGGCTAGGACATGAGCATCTTTTGGGGGCCACTCTTCGCCCACCATAGGAGGCATCTAAGAGTGGACAGGTGTGCAGGTGGCCCTGGCCCTGCGCCGTACCCCTCCATGCTCAGGACAGACCTGCTTCCTGACCCCATGTCTTCTCTGGCACACCGAACGCCCCTCCTCGGTCATCGGCAGCCTCTGCCCCTTTCACAGTCCGCCCTGGCCACACCACACGTCTCTGAGACCCTCCGACTGGCCAAGCTCTGGCTCCCGGGCCCCCAGAGGAAGCGAGTGTTGGGATGACTGGGGACTGGACGGCCAGGCCCCCAGGTTGGCGGAGCCGCCGCACAGAACCACGTGTTCTCTCTTGCTGCAGTCTCCTCGGCTACCTGACCAAGTACGACTGCTCCAGTGCCGACATCAACCCCATCGGCGGGATCAGCAAGACGGACCTGAGAGCCTTCATCCAGTACTGCATCGAGCGCTTCCAGCTTCCCGCCCTGCAGCAGTGAGTGCCGCCGCGAGGCCAGGGCCGCGGGCATCTCGCAGCACAGCCCTGGACCCCCCGCCCCACTCAGCCACCTCCTGTCACTCCCTACCACCCGATGAAAGCAGCCCTGCTCTTTAGCGGGCACTTGGGGTTCCACAACCAGGCCACCCCCTTCCTTGTCCTTGCCCCCCAGTCTCCTGGCTCTGGCCAGATCAGGCATCCACCGCCTCCCTCGTCCCCTTGCCACCTGTCCTCCATCATGCTGGGAGGTCTGATGCCGCCCTCCAGCTCCACGCTGCGCAGAGACCCTGGTGTTTTAACAGTGTCTGTTGAGCTGATTAGCACCCAGCCGCCGTGACTGATCTCTGTGTGTCTTGGCTGCAGCATCCTGGCAGCGCCAGCCACTGCAGAGCTGGAGCCCTTGACCGATGGACAAGTGTCCCAGACGGACGAGGTAACACTGGTGGCTTTGTCACCATGCTTCGCCCCATCTCCCTCCTCCTGATGTGTCCGTGCTGGGTTCCGCCAAGACCTCCTTTCTGCCCCAGGGAACCGTGTTCCATTGCTGGGCTCCTGGCCTGGGAGCCCCAGGCTCAGCATCGGTCCATGACGGGCCTTTGACCTTTGGATTCAGCCATGTGGAGGTTGGGGCCCGAGAGGAGGAGGGGACAAGGGGAGTGTCTGCGAGTGCTGGCGGGCGACCTCAGAGAAGCATCTCTGTTGACCCTTCCATCCTGCGGGGGAACGATAGGGCTGGTTGAGGTCATGGGCTGTGGTTTGCAGCTTTCGTGTCATAAGAGCCGTGACAAGTCACCTTCCTGCCTCCAGCTCCTTTAGTCACAGAAATGTATTGCATTTTCTTCTAAGAGTTTGATCGTTGGGGCCCTTGCGCTGAGGTCCCTGATCTAGTTGAGTTAGTGTTTGTGAATGGTGTGAGGAAGGGGCCCGCAGTCATTCTTTCACTTGTGGAAATCCAAGGGTCCCGGCAGCGTTTGTTGAGAAGACTGTCCTTTCTCCACTGGGTTGTCTTGGCATCTTGGTTGAACATCAGTTGTGAGAGTTTGTTCCTGGATTCGGTCCCCCGATCTGTGTGGCTGTGTTTGGGCAGAGCCGCAGTCTTCGTTCTGTAATTGGTAGTACTCTTGGAGCCCGGAAAGTGGGAGTCCCCCTGCTTTGTTCTTTTTCAAGATAATTTTGGAAATTCTGGGTCCCTTGAATTCCCATGTGAATTTTGAGATCTGCTTGTCAGTTTCTGCCAAAAACAAAACAAAAACTCCAGCTTTGATTTTTATTGCGTTGAATCTGTAGATCAATTTGGTGGGTGTTGTCATCTTAATACTGTTCCGACTTCTGACCCATGAACGTGGGGTGTCTTCCCTTTACCCCCATCTCTGTGAATGCCCTTCAACAATGGTTCGCAGCACTCAGAGTATATGGTATACTTCTTTCATCAAATCTACTTCTTAAGTAACTTATTCTTTTAGGTGCTATTATAAATGAGATTTTCTCCTGAATTTCATTTTTTGGGTGTTCATTGTCAGTGTCTAGAAACACAGTGATGTTATTTATCGTTTTTCTATTTTCTATTTCGCTAATTTCGCCTCTAATCCTTATTATTTTCTTTCTTCTACATGCTTTAAGATTACTTTGCTCTTTTCCCAATGTCGGAAGGTGGGCGGTTCGGTTGTTGATTTAAATATAGGTGTTTACAACTGTACATTTCTCTCTCAGTCCCATTTCCACTGCAGCCCGTAGGTTTTGGTGTGCGGCGTCCTCGTTTTCATGCTTCTCAAGTATCTTCTAATTTTCCTACACTTTCTTCTTGGACCCATTGTGTTTTTTTTAGGAGGGCGCCGTTTAATTTCCACACCTTTGTGAATTTCCGAAGTTTCTTTCCTGTTACTGAATTTGTAATTCTGTTTCATTGTGGTCAGAGAGCATACTTTGTGTGACTTCAGTGTTTTAAAGTGCTCTGAGGCCTGTCTTAACGGCCGAGCCTGTGGTCAGTGCTGGAGACCGGCCCGCATGCCCTGAGAAGAATGTGTGCACTTGTCAGCCGCAGTGTTGCATAGATGTCTGTTAGGTCCAGTTGCTTTGTAGTGGTCAAGTCTTCCATCCCCTTGGGGAATTTTTTTTTTTGTCTCGTTCTATCCATCATTGAAAGTGGGAAATTGAAGTCTCCAACTATTATTGCTGGATTTAAGGAATGAAAGTGTCACACTAGAAAATACTTCGTGCAAAAGGAAGCCGTGAAGAGGTCCTGTGCCAGGACCTGTCACGTGCAGGGGGCTCAGTGGTGAACAAGATACGCATGGTCACTTTTCCCAAAATGCTCACAGTCCCCTGGAGGGGACAGACAAACAGGAGGTAACCACGATGGCCCCAGGTGGCAATGAGTCTGTGCACAAAACCAGCCCAGGTGACCCGATGCTGGCAGTGTCCCTTAGACAGGGATCACGACAGGAGGTGACACTGGAGCTGAGGCCTGAGGGAAGGCCAGGGTGGGCAGTGGGAAGAGGCTGGGCCCGGTCACAGGAGCTCCCCAGACGGAGGTAAGGGCCGTCTTACCGTTACGAAGTGCCACCGTCACTGTCCGTCTCCCTGATAGGGCTCTGGCTGTATATCCCGGGGCGAGGCAGGAATTGAGGGGATTGGAGCCAATGTTGAAAAGGGGGTTCAGCTCGCGTAAGCCTCGGTGTCAAGCTGACTTGTGAGCAGGCGTGAGGCATCTCCTGGCCTCTGACGTGGCCCAGGTTTCCGTGCGTCCGTCCCTCTTCTCTGAGTCTTCCATCCTTAAAGGAGGCAGCTCACTGGGGCAGGGCACAGGGCCGGACATGGGCCTTGGATTGGTTTCCTGGGGCTGCTGTAACAAAACACCGCAGACTGGGCACTTACGCAACGGAACTGCCCCAGTTCCGGGCCCAGAAGTCTGGAATCAAAGTGTTGTGAGGCCTCACGCCCCTCCCCCCACCGAAGGCTCAGGGGGGGGGTCCTTCCTGCCTCCAGCTCCAGCTCCTGGGGGCCCCGGGCGTCCCCAGACCCGTGGGCACGTCCCTCCAGTCGGCCTCCTTCACATGGTCTCCTCTGTGTCTCCTCCTCTTTTGTCGCTTATAACCATCACTTGATTTAAAACCCACCTCGAATCCAGGGTCGTCTCATCTTGAGACCCTTAACTTAATTACATCTGCAAAGACCCCTTTTCCAAATAAATTCACAATTTGTAGGCTCTGGGACTTAGGACGTGGACATATCTTTTGTGGGAGCCGCAGTTTCAGCCCACCCCAGTCCTCAAAACCAAATGTCGGGTTCTTCATCGTTTTTACTGAGTGCCACCTCCTCGTTGGCTAGTCGGTGTTGGGGTGCGAGGCCTCAGCATCTGCTCCTGGCCCTTTGGGAAGTCTCCCCTCCCCTGGGTCTCGGTTCCCGTCTCCACACGAAGCTTCAGCGCTCTTCCGGCGCTGACTTGCCGTCGCTCCGTGGGATGTGCGTCTTTGCTCCGCAGGAGGACATGGGGATGACGTACGCAGAGCTCTCGGTCTACGGAAGGCTCCGGAAGCTCGCCAAGATGGGGCCCTACAGCATGTTCTGCAAACTCCTCCACATGTGGAAAGACAGCTGCACGCCACAACAGGTACACGGCGCCGGACGCCCCACGGGGGGCTCCACTCTAGGGGCAAGTACGTGCCGTGTGACCTTACAACCATAACGTTCTTCCCACCGCCGCCTCCAGGCTTTCGCCGGCTCGGGCCTTCCCTCGTCCCCTGAGCGGGGCTCGACCACCCCGTAGCCAGCAAGCCGCTCCCTTCTTTTTGGGGGTGGGACGCAGAGTACAAGAATTGAGGTTAGAAAATTGCTGCTTTTCTGCTAGCTTGTTAGGGCAGAAGCCTCAGACATGGTGGTCCCCATAGGGTAGTCCCCGTAGGGTGGAAGGCTGATGAAACACATCTTCGTGGGACCCCCTGTCAGGTCTCCAGATGCAGTACCCTGGGGCGCTAGTGTCAAGAGCCCACACTGGGGACTGGACGGCCAGGTCTTCAACACTGTTGAAGCTCCCCTGGCCACCCGAGCCTGAGCTCTGGCTGTGTCCACCCCTGCCTTTGGGGACGCTCAGATGCAGTGGGGAGCCGTCAGCTCGCACAGCCCAGAGTGACACGAGGAAGAACCCCGGCCTCGGCTCCCTCTGGCTTTGCGGATTTGACGCCCTGTGCGTTCCCTGCCCACCAGGTGGCTGACAAAGTGAAGCGGTTTTTCTCCAAGTATTCCATGAACAGACACAAGATGACCACGCTCACCCCTGCGTATCACGCTGAAAACTACAGCCCCGACGACAACAGGTTCGACCTGCGGCCCTTCCTGTACAACGCCGGCTGGCCATGGCAGTTCCGGTGCATAGAAAATCAGGTAAGTCCAGCAAAAACCGTTCCTCTCCACGTGAAGGACCCGTGGCGGAAAGGGCAGCTGCTTTCCATCAAGGACGGAAAAGCTTTTTTATATACACGGTGGCATTTTTCACCCTCCTTATTTCTGCAAAGGGACCAGCATGTCTAAAGCTGGTCAGAGCTTGGCGTGTGTGCTTCAGGGCCGTGCTGTACTTACTGATGCTGAGCACGCCAACGTGAGTGGCTGGACGGCGGTGTCAACAGGCCAGTCACCATCATCTCCAGACAACTGGCTGTGCCATCTTCGAAATCGCACTGCTTTTCCTTCCTCTAGTGGATGAACAGTTGAATAAAGGAAGGACTAATAAATCCAATTTTAAAAGCAAGCAGGTATAGGGCCTCCCCTCCTTCCATTCTGCATGGCAGACCACGTGAGACGCAGCCCCTCCCCAGCGCTAACCTCCTGGGAGGAGAAGGACTGCCCATTAGTGAACACGGGGACACACTGGAATGGGAGACGGGTCAGTGCAACGCTGAGCTCGAGAACATGGGGGCTGGCAGGACCCCACTTTCTGTCTGGTGGTCGGTCGTGGGGTGTCTGAGGAGGTGACGTGTACACGGATGATGCGACCCAGGGAACACTGCGTGTCTGTGGCTGTGGTCCCCAGGGTGAGGTGTTGTTCCCTCGGACAATGTCTGGAGACGTTTTTGGTTATCACGCCTGAGGGAGGGTCTGTGCTGCTGGCACCTCATCGGTCGAGTCGCCTCTGGGGAGGCTGCTAAGTATCCTGCAGTGCAAGGGACGGTCCCTCCCCCCAGGGAAGAGTTAGTGGCAGGTGGGGCTTGGCTCCCACCGAGATGTACTCAGCAGTGGGTTCCCCCAAATCAGGAATGGGGTTTGGAGGCTCTACAGCCAGAAGATAGACAAACGTAGAAACCCGAGAAGACACACAGAGGTAAAGGTGGAAATCACCTGCAGTCTTACCGTCCCGGAGTGACCACGTGCATGTGGAGGCAGATCCTTCCAAGGCTTTTCCACGCATGTGCCTGTATTCGACCACATTTAGTGCCTTGTGGACCCTGCTCGGTAACCTGCCTTTTCAGGTCCATGACTGCGGCCGTCTTTTGGTGTGAATCGCTCTAATTCAACAGCGTGATTGTGAAACATCCGCCGTGGACGCTGTTCTCACGTGACTTCTCTTTCCAGGTTCTCCAGCTGGAGAGGAGGGAGCGGCAGGACCTGGACGGCATGGACTGACGTGGGGTCCGCGGGGAGGCCCTCGACCCCCCACCCCACCCGCCCACCGCCAGGATCCAGTGTCCGGTGTTATGTCCCTCGCTGGTGACCTTGAGCGGGAGCTCGGCCACTCCCTGCCCGGAGGAGCGCCAACGAGTGTCGTTTCACATTTCAAGGGAGAGGGGTCTTTTAAGTCTAGTTCCTTCAAGAAAAAAAAAAAAAGGCTGCAATAAAGAGAATGATCTTTAACTCACTCCCGAAGCGAGCACCTCCCCGGCCTCTGTCCCTCGTGCTCCCGAGTCTCAGCAGCGCCCGCTGTGGACACAGACCGGAGCCCAGGGAGATGCTCCCAGGCGGGATGGCGGAGTCCCTGGGCGGGGATCTGGGCTGGCTGGCCCCGCCTGTCACCCACCGTTCTGGCCTTGGGAGTTCTGCACACTGGCTCTCTGCTTGTCTTCCTCTGCCCTTGCTTATGGCCCGTCTCACTGTCCCCCTTCCTCTAAACTAGCTTGCTTCTCTGATTTGCTTCTCGGTCATTGTCGTTGCCCATCCGAGGACCTGAACCTGCAGGGATACAGATTTGCCTCCGTCCCATGGCACCAGGGAAGGCCTCAAAACAGGGTGTCCCCAGGGCCAGCTGTGCCTTCATCAGTCCAGATATCCTGCCGGAAATTAAAGTACGAGTTCAGCCTACCAGTTGTGACGCAGGAAGGCAAGGGATGGAAAACGTGGTGGGGAAAGGCCAGTGGTGTGCAAACAAAAATCCAAAACAAAATGCGGAAAACCCGCTGTAATGAGACAAGCGTGGCAAAACTGCTAAATGTGGAAAGCGTGGAAGTCTAGAATGTTCCACAAATATATTCTCCTCCGAAAGTGAAAACCAGAAGCAGTAGGACAGGCCCGTGAAGTGCATCAGGAGGCGGGGCCTGGAAGCTGCCGTAACTCCCCCTTGAGGCCTTCCTGGGCGAGTTAACACAGGGTTATAGACAGCTGTCAGTCATTCTACATGTCGCCCTTGGAGACGCCTGTCTGGAGTCCATGGCCTTCTATTTGGGACAGACCTTCCCAACAGGTATATGTGTTTGCTCTGAAAAACTCCATCACTCGAATCCTAGAACCTGGGCACCCCAATCAAAGGGGTCGGGGAGAGGCGAGCAGTTTGGGGTGGAGGGAGGGGTGAGCAGATAGCTGTCAGGTCAGGGAGCATTTCTGCACCCATAAAAGTGCAGCGCGTACATGGGTCCGCACCACCCAACGTGGAGAGTAGAAGGCCTCTCGGGGCGGTGATTCCTGAGCTGCTGGTGGTGACAGCAGGGTCGGGAGGAGACAGCAAATGAAAGGGTGGGGAGAGGAGGCGAGGGCTTCGGGCAGAAGGGCAGCCTGGGGAGAAGACCCGAGGCCAGAGCACAGACCAGCAGCGGTGGCAGGAAGCGAGGACACGCCAGCTCGGGAAGGAAGGGTCTCGTAGTTCGGGAAGGCACTGGGCTTTATTTTATTGAACTATAACTCACATATAACATTCACTATTTTAAATTATACAAATCAGTGGCTTTTAGTATATTCACAAGGTTGTGCAACTATCTCCACTATCTAATTCTAGAATGTTTCCCCCAAAAAGAAACGGTGACCCACAAATAGAAACCCCATACCCATTAGCAGTCACTCCCCAGCCCCTGGCAAACACGGGCCTTATTTCTGTCTCTGTGGATTTGCCTGTTCTGGACATTTCATAGAAATAGAATCAGACAACATGTGGCCTTGTAAAACCTGGCTTCTGGGCCAGCCGAGTGGCGCGATGGTTAAGAGCTGGCTTGGGACGCCAGAGGGCCCCGGTTCAGATCCCACGTATGAGGGCCAGTGACACTGCCCTCCATAGCTAAGATGCTGAACAACAGCTCAACTTGGAGCTGGGCTGCCGGGAGTCACCGGCGACGACCTAGGCTGCAGCCCCTGTGGCAGTAGGTTGCCATGGGCTACCATGTGTAGCCAGCAGCCAGCGTGAGCGGCCAGTAGCCGCAGTGAGTGGCCGTCCAGAAGCCAGCGACTGATATGCCTCACCCAGGAAGAGTGCAATGATGGTGCCAGCTTGGGCCAGTGAAGCAACGTCCTCCACAACTAGACTGAAGAACAAAACGACAGCAACTTGTCTGTTCCCCTCCCCCCAATTCCCCAATAAAAATCTTTAAAAAAAAAAAAACCTGGCTTCTTTCATGGAACATGTTTTCAGGGTTTGTCACTCTGACTACGTTTCATCCTGCTGTGTGAGGATTTGGAAGATGAGACATACGTCCTCTGACCCAGGGTTACTCACCCGCCTTGTGGCCTAAACTCCCTCAATTGCAAAATTAAGATAAATTGGGGTGATTCTTGGGATTATGCAAAGCAATGCCGGCTGGCGTAACGCTGTCAAGTGAATGCTCCCTTGTCCCCAAGGCTAGCTGTGGAGAGAGGCAAGAACATGTGTGCCAGGCAGAAGTTAGAATGAAACCATTCTTATAGGAAGGGAGCAGAACACACCCCTTAGAGGCTGGGTAATGACACCTGGCAGGTACAATCAAAGACAGCTTCCTGGAGGAAGGGGTCCTAATAGGGTGGGCAGGACCCCAGTGGGCAGGTGCTGGAAGGGGAGCTATTTTAGGAATTGGGCACGATGCTGACGAGGTGTGATCTGAGGGGAAGCATAGGTGTGATGGAAACCAACAACCCGCCTGGTCTGAGGAAGATGAGGCTACGGAAGGAGCGGTACAGAAGGGTTAAGTCCTCCAGGTGGCAGAAGATTCCAGACTCCACGACCACTAGACTGTCTCATGCAGGTGGTGGTGAAATGGCGAGATGCCGACTAAGTCGGGGCTCAGGGTGCTGTCAGAGCTTGGCCAGATTCACCCCACATGAGAGAAGAAAAGGGGAAGCGCCCGTGAGGAAATGCTGTCATCAGCCCATCTCATTATGGGACGGGAGGGAAGGGGTCAGAGGTGATGTGAAGTTTTAGAGGCCGAGTGACAGGAAGGGGAGGACATTACGCAACATAATCAAAGCAGAAGAAGCATGCTGCGGGGAGGATGGCGAGCTCCCCGCTGGCAGCATTGAGGTTAAGGGATGTATGAGCCTGCTTAGCCTCCATAACGAACCACAGATGGGAGGGCTTAAGCCACAGACACTCGCTGGCCCCACTTGGAGGCTGGAGTCCAAGGCCCAGATGTGGGCAGGGCTGGTTCTCCGAGGCCTCTCTCCTCAGCGTGTGGACGGCCGTCTCCTCCCTGTGTCCCCACAGGGTCGTCCCTCTGTGCGTGTCTGTGTCCTGATCTCCTCTTCTTATTAAGACCCCAGTCACAGTGGATCAGGGCCCAGCCCCGTGACCCCATTTCACCTTAATCACCTCTCTAAAAACTCTATGTCCAAATGTGGTCATATTCTGAGGTGCTGGGGGTCAGGACTTGGACACACGAACTTTGAGGGGACCCAACTCAGCCCATAACAAGGGTCCTGCTGAACGTTAAAAGTGGCGTCATCTAGAAACTGAAGTTGATAGCTTAGGCGACATCGAGGTGAAGCCTATCACTTTCGGAGGCCTAGACTGCAGACACGTCAGTAGATGAGTTCTCCCACAGACAGTCTAGAGAAATGATGTCACCCCGACCCCTGTGTGTTTTCTGTCACCATCAAAACAAACTAAAGTTTCTTCAAGGGGTTCTCACTTATGCTGTAAAAACTTATTTATGAGGTAGTGTTTGGAGACCTAGTGACATAGATATAAATGTGGAGGGAATTAAAAATGTGTGATAGGCACGTGCTTGTGTGCTCGCATGAGCGCGCGCGCGCGCACGCGCACACACACACACACACACACACACACACACACACATGCGCGCACACATGCGAAATAGGTAGACCAGACTTAGAATCATTGAATTAAGTCAAAACCAGTAATTTCAAAACTCAGCGTTCCCAGGCCTACATGATTTCAGGGCAATTGTAAAGTCCTGCAAGTAGCACGTAAACTGTTCCATCTATGAACTGCTCCAGAGCACAGAGCAGGAGAGAAGACTTTCTAGTCACACCAGGGATGAGCACGTGCTTCGTGATGGGATGGCGGTCACCTAGGAGACCAGGACACAGACGCACCTAGGGCGTCTGCAGGGCTCGCAGGTAAAGGTGGCCCCCAATGGGTCCCAGCGATTCCTGCTGGGGGTCCATCCTCCCTCCTTCTGGCTTTACCCCTTTTCTCTCTCAGCTCTTGCATTGATTCATAGCAATACAGTGGCAGGACATTGGAGACCACACCTGACCCCCAAGGCCAGCAACCCCCTGCACACTTGTCAGAGAAAATGAACTCTTCCTCTGTGTCAACCACACGTCATCCTCTCTATTTCTTTTCTAATTTTGTTTTTGTTACTCACAGTTAACGTCCTGACTGATACACGTTGAACGTGTTGAAGGGAGGATGGTGAGTTCCATGTTGGCCTCGTTGAGGTTAAAGGGTATATGAGCTCAGGGGTTGGACATTACAGGACGGAAAATAAAGAACTGTCAACAGTAGGTGATTCCTGTTATATTTACAACATACCTACAAAGGTCTGGCAATTAAGTTTGCAAACTTGTTGCAATGTTGTTGCTAACCTTTTTTGATATCAGAGGGATTATTCACTATGACTTTGTACCAACTGGAAAGACAGTGAACCAAGTTTACTATTTGGAAGTGCTGAAAAGGCTGCGTGAAAAAGTTAGACGACCTGAACTTTTCGCCAACAATTCATGGCTCTTGCATCACGACAATGCACCAGCTCACACAGCACTGTCTGTGAGGGAGTTTTTAGCCAGGAAACAAATAACTGTATTGGAACACCCTCCTACTCACCTGATCTGGCCCCCAGTGACTTTTTTCTTTACCCAAAGAGAAAGGAAATATTGAAAGGAAGACATTTTGATGACATTCAGGACATCAAGGGTAATACAATGACAGCTCTGATGGCCATTCCAGAAAAATAATTCCAAAATTGCTTTGGAGGGTGGACTAGGCACTGGCGTCGGTGCACAGCTTCCCAAGGGGAGTACTTCAAAGGTGACCATAGTGATATTCAGCAATGAGGTATGTAGCACATTTTCTAGGATGAGTTCGCAAACTTAATTGTCTGATCTCATATGATATCTATCATCACATTAACCTTTCTAGAACCTAGAAAAGGGGCATAAAATGTGTAAGCTCCTTGTAAGATGATCGTGTATTTCTGATACCAAAAACTAGACAAAGGGTAACCTAAAAAGACTGTCATCTCATTTGTGTACATAGAGGAGAAAAACAAGATAGTCACAGTGGGACCCCCTGGGGAGCGAAAAACAAGGCCTTTCCCACCCCCCCGGGATGTTTTACCATAGAAACACCAGATGCTGTGGACGACATAAGTGTGAGAAAAACAGGAACACTTCCGAGCGTGGATTTCCATCAGCGGAAGCCACAGATTACAGCTGACTTGTGCAACCAGCAAGGAGTGAAACTGGACCCAGGGCCCAGGGGTTTCAAATATAAAAGCACTTCCATTTACTGGAAGTGGCCAGGTCAACCCCCTTCTCTTATAAGTGAGCACTTTTGGTTTTCTATAACCAATATATAGTATGTTCCATGCTTTGTAACTGAAAAGTATATTCGGAAATTTCAAGGTGAACCCTGACTCTTTGAGGAAGTATGTGGCACTGAAATGCTCAGGATGAAACTGACAATTGTTGAGTGTGTTTCTCTCTTTTTGCCTCTTTGCACAGATGGAACACAGAGCCTGAATGCACTTTTTAAAAAACAGGAAGTTTATGGGGCGGCCGGATGGCTCAGTTGGTTAGAGCATGCGTTCTGAACAAGAAGGTTGCCGGTTTGATTTCCACATGAGATGGTGGAGTGTGCCACCCCCACAGCTAGACTGAAAACGGCAACTGAACTTGGAGCTGAGCTGTGCCCTCCACCACTATATTGAAGGACAACAACTTGACTTGGAGCTGATGGGTTCTGGAAAAAACACAGTTACCCAATTAAAAAAAAACAAAAAACAAGAGGTTTAAATAGGTATTTGTTTTAATGTATATAGTAGATGCATAATAAATATATCTTCAGCACGACAAAGCCATGACATTTGATTGCTTAGAGTGGAGCTGAATCAAAAAGCAACTTGATTAAAGAAAAATGTCAACTGGGGCCGGCCGAGTGGCGCGATGGTTGGGAGCTGGCTTGGGACGCCAGAGGGCCCCGGTTCGGATCCCACATGTGAGGGCCAGTGACACTGCCCTCCACAGCTAAGATGCTGAACAACAGCTCAACCTGGAGCTGGGCTGCCGTGAGTCGCCGGCGACGGCGTAGGCTGCAGCAGCCCCTGCGTCAGTGGGTTGCCATGGGCTACCGTGTGTAGCCAGCAGCCAGCGTGAGCGGCCAGCAGCCGCAGTGAGCGGCCGTCCAGAAGCCGGTGACTGATCTGCCTCTCCCGGGAAGAGCGCAGTAATGGTGCCAACTTGGGCCAGTGAAGCAACGTCCTCCACATCTAGACTGAAGAACAAAACGACAGCAACTTGTCTGTTCCCCTTCTCCCAATTCCCCAGCGCTGTTCCCATCCCCCCAATTCCCCAATAAAAAATCTTTAAAAAAAAAAAAAAAGAAAAGAAAAACGTCAACTAAGTAATAGGACAAGTGGTAACCCAGGGTCATGCTTCACACTAAAACGTCAGGAGCATTGCAATTAAAATCATGTCAAGGGAAGGATTTTCACTATTAGTGCCAACATTAAATGTCATACTACAGATCTAGCCAGTGGAAGACGGTGTTTGAAAATGGGTATCTAGAAAAACTGAACAGGACGAAATGAACTGGCAAGACTTTTGGATGAGACAGAGAAAATTACCTTAAAAAAAAAAACAATTTAAAGAAAGATCTGGAAGTCTACCAGGATCTTCAGTTGAAAGAATCAGAAACTGAAAATATCAACTCTATCCTAAATTAGTCTCTACATTGAAACGCTGAAACAACCTTGGAGCTTGGAAAGCCAATTCTAAAGTTTATCTGGAGGAGAGAATGTGAGAGAGCAGAGAAGGGAGGAAATGTCCTCAGACGGTGAAACGTGAAATGAACCCTCCATCTTTCAGCCTGTGAGGTGGCACCGATTCCTGCCATCCCCCCGAGATGCGGTGTTTTAATGAACTGACTTGGCTGAGGTCAAGGGGGGACCATTCGGCTTCTACTTGGCTTTCCAACAGTAGCTCTTAACCTACAGACCAAGGTACCAAAGTGGGGGCTGGGCCACCCACCAACTGTGTGCATTCAAGTGACACATTTGAGGGCTCCGCATTGTCTCCAGGAAGGGGGCAGTGTCCCCAGTAGCGGGGGCTGGGCACTCTGCATGCTCAGGGGGCGCAGCGTCTGGAGTTCAAACTATGGGGTGTGTCATCCAAGGTCCCCATCCATGTCAAGGTCCCATTCTCTCCCGACACTGTCCCTGATCCCAGCGTGGCTGGCCTGCCCACGCTGAGAGTTTAATCTCTGGAGATGGCCTTTCGGCCCCAGTCTGGACCTCAGGTCCCTGCCCGGGGTTGTGGGAGGGCAGGCCTTCCATTGCCCAAGCAGCCCTTGGTTGTCACACCTCCTTTAAGCGCCCCTTCATCCTGGTCTCTTGTTCCATTGAGGGATGGAAACAGCTACCCTCCCCCCCCAGACTCTGCTCCCTTTGTGTTGCTTCAACACCTGACATGCAGTGCCAGCCGTGCACCCCCTTCCTCCAGGATCCCGCCCACCGCCGGGGAGGTTTACCCATCACACAGCCACGTGGCCAGGCCCTCTGTGCTCTGTGCCACCAACAGGCGCAGGTGATCGGCCCAAACCCCATCTCAGCATCTGCTGTTCACCACCACGCCAGGTGTCTGTCAACTGTGCAGACGGGGGCCCCTGGGCTCTGTGATGGAGGGCGGCACGTAGGAAGTGTCAGGGATACTCCTGGGGTGACCGCTGGGGAAAGGAAGGGGAGGGGAGGGGCAGGTTTGGGCCGCAGGAGATTTGGGGTGTCCTGCAGTCTCAATGAAGGTCACAGCTACCAGCTACAAAGCTGGGGTGACCCTTCCAAGGTGTCTTGACTCGGAGCAAGAGGACCCAGGGTCCCATGTAGGCTGCCTACCTACATGTGACAAAATGTGAGAGTCGACCCGGTGGGGTCCGTGGGGTCCTGCAGCTCAGTCCTGCAGACCACGCGACTGCTAAGTAACAGTACCCGCCTCACAGCCACTGACACACAACTGATGCTGTGACCACTCAGCCTGGCTTTCTGGGGCCCTCCATGACCCATCTGCACCCTGGTGACCTGAGGGTTTTTTTTCTCTGAATCCATGTGAGGCAACCAGGAGACCCCCACTGAACCATTAGCTTAGAAGACAGACTTGCTCGTAAGTCCCTTAGGTGGCCTCAGGCCCAAGTGTTCAGCGGGGTCTATGCTCCCTCTCAAGGAGCATCGGTTTTCACAGGTCACCCTAACTCACCTGTTCACCTCAGCACAAGAGGCCTTTCAAAGTGAGAGGCAAAGAGCATTTATTTGAGATCAAAGAATAGCTATTTGGGAATCGCTGATTCAGGCAGAAGCCCAAGTAGCGTTCTGATGAGACAAAAGCCAGGGGTGTTTACGAGAAAGAAAAGGGGACATGACACCAGTAGAAGGCAGGCCATTGGTGCAGATAACAAAACATAGTGATGCTAATTCTAAGCAATGTTTATATTTTCAGTGCGGTAGTCATCAGTCTGGTAGTCATGATATCTACTTGCATGTTATCTTTGTGGACAGGTCTTTGGGGCACAAGGTTGCTTTAGGCCCAGTGCAGGGGTGGTTTTGCTCTGGACATTTTAAAGGTTCAAGGTGTAAGACGTCCCAGGCAGCAACCCTGGGACAGCAGCTCCATTTTAAAAGTGACTCTATTTACATAGATAGATAGATAGATAGATAGATAGATAGATAGATAGCTCTCTTTCACTCTCTGTCTCCCTCTGTCTCTGTCTGTCTCCGTCTGTCTCTCTGTCATTCTCTCTCCTTAGAGGCCACCAGCTCATCAACCCCAGGATCAGGAGCAGCGAACGCCTTCGGGAGCGCGTTGGTGGCCATCGTGTTCCTCTGAGCCAGGAAGCGCACAACCTGGAGAAGAGAGCACGTGAGCAGGCACTGAACTCGGTGTGGCGTTTCAGGCCCGTGCCTTTCCCAGCCGCGCCCCGCAGAGTCACACACGGAGCCCTCGGCCGGGCTGACCACAGGGACGGCCGGGTAGCCGTCCAGCCACAGAGAGCTCGCAGGGCGCGGCCCCGTCCACTGCTCCTCCCTAATAATGTCTTGAATGAATGAACCAGTTGATTGCTCCCATGTCTGAGCCGTGGTGTTTGGTCTGAGTAGATGTTGCTCTCGTTTCGAAGGGGGTGTGTTAAGGCCTTTTTAACAAGTGTGACTGGGAGGAGGGGTCAGGATGAGGAAGTCCTGGAGGCCAGTCACCTGCTCCGGCCCAGGTGGGGACACTGAGCCTCATCTCAGGGAGGGACCTGGATCTTTGTCTCGGCTCAGGCGCCTTAGGCATCAGGTAAGTCACCAGCCTCCGCAGCCTCAGTTTCCCCTCTGCTAAGCCAGCGGGTCGCACGACTGCCGTCTAGGCCATGCAGGTCCTCATCAGCAGCCCCCACCCACCCACCCCTGGGCACCTGCCCTCTCGCTGTCCCGCCCTCCCAGCAGCTGCCTCTCTCTCAGTGGGACCCACGCTTGCCCAGTGCCACCTGCCACCGTCCCATGACCACCACCGGTGCACGAGCCCTGGGCCCCACCGGACTCACCCCGGGGACGCCTGAACGGGCCTGTCTCCACCAGAGGACGGAAGTCAGGATAGCAACGCAGAATTCCACCACCGTGAAGAGGAGCATGTCAGACAGCAGCCCCTGAAACGCAGGGCACACAGGGGCGGCACTCAGACCCCGGGCCCCTGCTTCCGGGGTGGCCAGAGGGCTGCAGGCCGTTTCGGATCTCAGAGAGCCTCGCAAGCCTCCCCCGCTCCTGCCACATTGGCGTCATTTAGTCTGCTCGTGTGTACACCTGCCCACACCTGTTCCTGATCCCTGGGAGACAGGGGCGAGCCCTGGGTTCCAGGGCGGGTGGCGGATGCCCAGCGGTGGCATTGGAGGCTCCCAGCCCAGTGTCTTTCCTTGTCTGGGCTTCAGTTTCTTTCTCTGTGAAGTGGGTACGCCAATGTCTAGCTCTCAGGTCCACACAGGTGGAGAGCCAACAGGCCCCAGCATCCTCCACTCACCCCTCCCCTCAGGCAGCAGGGGACAGGGCGACCTGCAGAAGCGGTCGGCTGGCATAGCTGCCAACGCCCATGCTGACCCCCAGGACACACCCCCGAGGAGGGCGCACCCACAGCTCCACTGCCCTGGACGACCTTCCTCTGAGCAAGAGCCAGCAGGTAGAACAGGTGAGGCCCCAGGTGTGCAGACCATCGGATTCATTCATGCTGACCATGACTGAGGGTGTGGCACGGGGTCCCATGCCCACCTGCAGGCTCAGAATGAATGCGACACTGTTTGGAAAGAGGGTTTTTGTCGGGCTGACTAGTTAAGCTGAGCTTATCCTGGGTTTCGGGTGAGCTCTAAACGCCACGACAGGTGTTCTAAGAGAGGACAGAGAAACACACAGAAAAGGTCAGGTGAGGGGCAGGCCGAGACTGGGGTGATGTGGCCCCAAGCCAAGGACCCCTGGAGCCCCCAGAAGCGGGGAGGGGCAGCAAGGACCCCCCCCCAGAGCCTGCAGTGGGAGCACAGCCCTGGGACACCTTGGTTTCTGATTTCTGGTCTCCCGATGGTGAGAGAATGAATTTCTGCTGTTCTCCGCTGCCCAGCGTGGGGTCGTTTGAATTCAAGGACCAAGTGGGAAGGGGCTGCTGCTAGCCCCCCACCCCTGAGAAAACCCGAACAAGTGAGCTCACCCTTCATCCCTACACAAACCTCGTCCAAACCGCCCGCAGCCCCACCCGCAGCAGCTCCCATTATCGCTGGCTTCATCTCTGGGGGCGCGGCCTGAGCCGGGATGAGGCCATGAGGCGGGGGACCGCCATGGCTGTGGGATGGAAACCTTCGTCCTTCTTGTCCCGGCTCCTTTTCTCCGTGTTCTGTGGGCCTGTGCCTGCTCTCCTGAGTTTACCGACTAAAAGCCTTTCTGATACAGCCGGAATGCGACACGGCCTCCACGTTTGTGCAAAGCTTCGCTTGCCCGTCTCAGGCTGCTCCCCCGGGATCCCGTGCTCTGCGTTTTGAGTTCTCGGGCTTTATTGCGTGCACCTGTACCTTGTTGATGCTTCTTGATAAGTCACCCTAGTCTCTTCAAAAGGGGAAACACGTGATGCCTGGGGCGTGGGAACAGCTGTTAAGGATCAGGGCCCCTCCGAGGGAAAACGAAAGAATCCCAAGGCACAGGGACTTCCACCGGACCTTGGAACCCTCTCTCCGCCTCCCCAAAAAAACTCTTGCATCCTATGCGCCCGCCCACCATGGACTAGGGTCTTGTGCATTTTTGGAAAATGGGTAGATTTTCTGAGGATGATTCGGAATTGTAGTGACCAGTTTGGGGAAATTTGGACTTAGCTAAGATAGCCCACTGTAAGGGGTACTCTTGAGAAGAGGGACCCCCAAACCTGTCAGAGACAAAGGACCATGTTCTGTGACTGTGCAGGAGCCTTTGAAAGACAGAGGGACCTCCAGACACACCCCCATCAAAGCATTCTTACGGCACCCATGAGAAGACTTCAGTAAAACTCGTTGGCCACCTGAGCAGGTAACCTTAACTTTGTCCACTTGCCAGAACCCCACGTGGGTCCAGCTGCTCTTCTGAGCTCTGTGATTGTACCTGAGACATGCCTACAATTTTAACATGTAAGGTTATTAGGACACCTGTGTCTGGACATTTTTTTGTTATATGTCTGTGTGTATATTATATATGTGATGTTTTTAAAAGAGCTCTATTTAATTGGCTTAAAGGAAAATAAGCACTTATATAAATGTAGTGTTCCTAAAACTCTCAGAAATATAAAAACTAGCCCAGATGTTTGTCAAACTCACGTGACCTGGGATAACCTTTGATAGATAAAAGCTAGTTTACGTACAGACCACTTGGCTGGCTTTCCTTCACCTCTTTGGACCTTCCCCCAGAACCGCCCCCCACCCCCACCCCAAAGAAAGCGCAGGTGACAAGAAGCTGGGAATCTCTCAGATTTCTCCAGTCTGGAACATTCTATGTGAATATACTCACCAGCAAAGTGGAGCTGGCGAAGTTGCACTTAAAGGCCTTGTCTCCTGAGTTGGCGTAGCTGCCCTGGAATAACTGTCCAGACACCACGTCCAGCTCACACTGTTTCCAGGCGGTGAGCACCTGGGCCATGAGGCAGGCGACGAGTATACAGCCCACAGAAGCGGTGATGAGGCTCAGGAGGTTGGTGGCCAGGCTGGCCCAGGCCTGCAGGGGGACTCAGGTCAGGGCTGCTGCGCACCACGCCCTGCATTGCAAGCGTGGGTTTCCACATCTGGGTCCCTCGGCAGGACGGGTCCACGTGGTAGGATCTGTTTCTGGTCCCTTCCGCCCTCCATGGAGCTCCTGAGCCCGCGGGAAAATGCTTGCAGAATGCACAAATGTGAGACTTCCTGGCAGGACCGAGGGAGGATGCTGTCCACTCAGGACTGGACAGGACCAGACGGAGACACACATAGGACTGATGTCCAGTTGGGCCGTACCGAGCACTTAGAATATTGCAGTGCCCGTAACGCTGGGTAACCACTGCCACCCTCATCCTCCAGAGCTCCCCGCCGGCTTTGCCCTGCCCGCCCCCCAGCCACCCTGAAGAGGCTCCCACCTCCCTCATCTCTCCAAAGCCTGAAGGAAGCCGTGCCCCGGGGCTGGGCTGGCGTCACACGGGTGCCCTGCCGCATTCTGCACCATCACCCCAGCTCAGCCTGAGGCGCCCACACACGGCAGGGCTAGAGGCAGAGGGGTCTTCTCATACAACCCCAACAGACACCCCAAAGCAGTGTCAGCCACACGGGGATACAACAGGGTCAGGGCTCCCTCCATTCTTTCCGTCCATTCCCCTGCACAAACCAAAAGGCGCGAGAGGGACATAGCTCGGCAGGCGAGCGGGCCGAGGACCACACAGGGGACAGGCCCTACGTGGATGTTTATCGCCCGGTCCCCGGGGTGAGCCCAGAGGAGGACAGAAACCACGGCTGCACTCAGGCGTGGAAGCCCCTGGAAGCAGGAAGCCTGGGTTCTAGTCTCAGGCCATCCAGACTCAGTTTACCAAGCAGTCCTCCAGCACGCTTCTCTCTAGCCCCGACACATGCCTCTTGAAGGAAAGGGAAGTCTTGCAGCTGAGAAGCGTCCCCCCGACACTCCCCGTGGCACCCTTTACCCCATTCCCGTCTGACCTTGTCTGACCGAGCTACACAAGAATGCAGGCACCTGCTCCCCTGGCCACCGCCAGTGACCAAGGGTGGGCCGTGGCCCGAACGCCACCTCCTCCAGCCCAAACAAGTCCCCATTCCGGGCTCCATTTTGAGGGAGGGGCATTCCTGGTGGTCTCTGATTTTCTTGCCCAGCAGGTGGCACGCCACAAACGACCCATCATTTCTGTGTGCCCTGTCCCCTGTGGTCACCAAGGACCTGGATTCAGGTGGCCAATTGGCACCAAAGGGTGTCCTGACCGGGCAGGATTGCCCCATAAAGCCACCCAGAGCCTGGCGAGGGTCAGTGCTGGTTACAGAGTGGAAGTTGTGCCAGGAGCCCAGGCACACGCGGGCCTCTGGGCTGGTCCCCTCGGGCTGCTGACTGACGGCGCCTGCTCTGACTTGGGGGTCTGCTCGCGCCTATGGGTGCCCTCCAAAGCCCTTGTAAGCGAGCGCGGTGCCGTCATGTCAGGACTCACCAAATGCTTACTTGCTCTTTTTTCCATGATGACAGACAGCAATCCAGAGACGAAAAACTACTCAGGAAAGAGGAAGCTAAGATCAGAGCGGTTTCTGTGCAAAGAGGCAGCCCCGACGTCCCCACTACCCAGCTGACACGTCCTTGTTCCCCTGTAGGACTGATGGCACTGGGGACATTGGGGGCCTATGTCCTGGGGTGTCCTGTGTCACCGCTTATTATCAATAGCACCCGTTTATGTTTAAAACTGTCCATGTTGGGGCTACCAATTTTACGGTCCCCCCGAGAGAAGCCACTGTGCTCTCCAGAGCCCCAGGGAACGACAGTGTGATGACTTCAGGAGACCTGACCTTGGAGCCAGGGAGTCACACGGTCCCCAGTGCAGAGGGACTCCTGCCCCCACCCTCCAATACCCCCAAACAAGTTCCACACTTGCATTTTTACTTTCCGAATAATGAACACTGCGGGGACACAGGTGAGCAGACTGAGCCCACCCTCCCAACCCAGAGACCCCCCCCCATGAGTGCCCACTCACTCACACACTTGGCACCTACGAATGGGAAGCCAGACTTCACCAGGGTGACAATAGGTGAGCTGAAGTGATGGGGGAAGGGGACACATGCCAAAAGGAGCCCCAAGGCCATGACCATGAAGTTGGAGAAGATCTGGACAGCCTGTTGGGAGAGAAAAGGGGGGTTACCAAGTGTCGAATTGCATCCTCCCAAAAATGTGTGTTTCAGCCCCGACTTCGGGACTTGGAATGTGACTCGTTTGGAACTACAGCTTTTGTAGGTACGGTCGAGGTGTCGGTTACAGGCGAGGTCTCAGTGGGCTGGGGTGGGCCCTCCATCCAGTATAACTGATGTGGCTATAAGAAGAGGGGGGAGCCCCAGGGACAGACACACGCACAGGAGGAGGACATGGAGGCAGAGACTGGACCTGTGCAGCTGCAGACCACGAAAGGTGCCAGCACCAGCAGCTGGGACAGAGCGCGGCCCGCCGACTCCGCGATTGGCGACTTGTGGACTCGGGAGCTCTGAGAGGTTAAGTTTTTAAGCCCCCAATTTGGGGTAGTTTGTTACCAGCGGGGGGGACACCGACACACAGGGTGAGCCAGTCAAAGCTGCCTGGATCAGAGCTTCGGGTATAAGCCGAGGGATTGTTAGCAGGTCTGGGGCTTTGGCAAGCAGTGTGGGGACACTGTCCCAGGTTAGGGCCCAGTGAAGTGCATGGTGACATCTCATTCTTTAGTAGCTGTGGGGGTGCAGGTTCCCGGGTTCCTGGCGAGGGCTGTGGGCCCAGCCCGCAGGGACTCCCAGCTCTGTGATTCTGGGCTCTCCCCAATGCCTTTCTGTGTCAACAGATGCACCTCAAACACAGCTGGCATGCAGACGCTGGCGTGCAGAGCGCATGGACCTGGGTTCAGGCTATGGCTCCCTAGCTGAGAGGAACCCCAGGAGCTGTGATGGGATGCCAAGTGGCCCCCAAATAATTCCACCGCAAGTTCTCACTCTTAGGTAACATTTACTAAGCAATTTCTCAGTTGTAAGAGATGAGTCACTTGCAAACCCTTTTCAAACCAACATGAGGCGGATTTATGTTGAGAATGAGGGAACCACAGCAGCTCTTATGGGGAAGGAGGTGCTGAGGGGGACCAGGCATTCTGGCCCCTCTCCTGGTCCCTGCCGATCTCCCCGCCCTCACTGACTCCCTTCCGTCATTCAGTGGGGTGGCCTCACATTGAGGAACCACAGAGAGAAACGTCAGAGGGCAGACAAAGGGCCAATGTCACACCTGTTCTTGAAATACTTAATATTTTCAAATGGGGGGATGGTGGGAAAGTGTCTATATTTTTCATAAAGAAAACATCCCTGGGAAGTAAAATCCAGAAGAGTTTGTTCAA